GTGGAGGTGTAATGACAAGGAAAAGATTTTATTCTTTGATGAGATCCCTCCACTTCGTTGACAATGACAACAATAATGGATCAAAATTATATAAAATAGAAAAATTTGTCAACTTGTTCATTGCCAGATGTCAACACTTACTGGTTCCAGGCAGAGATATATGCATTGACGAAAGCATGATACCCTTTCGCGGCAGACTTCGATTTCGTATGTATATTCCTAGTAAAAGGCATAAATATGGCATCAAAATCTTTAAATTGTGTAGCAACAACGGATACACTTATAATTTATCAATTTATGCCGGTAAAGAGGACCAGCCAAGATATGGTTCTGTGGCAGAACGTGTAGTTTTAAAACTAATGGAAAACCTTCTTGGACATGGCAGAATTCTGTATACAGATAACTGGTATACAAGTATGAATTTGGCGAAATCTTTATTGGAAAACAAGACAAACTTGGGACGGCCAGAAAAAATAGAATTGGATTTCCAAAACACGTAACTTCTCTGAAATTGAAGAAAGGTGATTATGTTGCAGAACAAAATGGTGATGGTATTATGATTTTAAAATGGAAAGATAAAAGAGAAGTTATAATGCTTTCATCTATTCACGATGGTAGCATTACGGAGAGAGGAAAACCTGCTGTTATCGTAGATTACAATAAAGGGAAATCGTTTAACGATCTATCTGACCAATTGGGCTCTTATTGTCCATACGTACGTAAAACAATGAAATGGTACCTCAGAATCTTTTTTCATATAATTACTCAAGTTTCCATTGTTAATGCTCTGCATCTTTATAAATTACATAGCGGAAAAAATATCAAAATTGTACAATTCAAAAGAGATATTGTCTCATCAATTTTGCAACTGGAAAAGCCAACATCTTCTGGACGAAAACATCAACTTGAAAAAGAACCAGGAGAAGGAACTATTCGAAAACGACGTTGTACTGAATGCTACAACAAATTATCAAAAGAATTTGGTGCCACAATTGCCAGGAATCGTGCTAGTCAAATTAAGACAAGATGTGATAATTGTTTAAAACCTTTTTGTTTAGCTTGTTTTCAAAAATGTCATACTAAATGTTGATTTTATTGATTATGTTGATTTTATTTTTTTGTTATAACGGTTTTTTTTAATTCTAATGTTATTTTCTGTTTTATTTTTTTCAAATAAAGTTATCTTTTACCACAGTGTTTTTTATAATTTGAACGAAGTTTTTTTTCTTAAAACGCTATCTATTTAAACGCCATTAAATTTTAAGAATTGATAAATATAAAGAAACAATTGGAAACAAGTAAAAATTAGAATACTTAAAATTAACAAAAATAAATTTACTATCAAAATCGTGTATCCATATGGATACACGACTTGAAGAAACGAGAGTTTACGCGTGTATACATATGGATACACGATGCGGTCAACGTGTTAAGTAAACAAAGTTTTAAAATAGCAATTTTTAAAAAAAAGCTAGTGATTTAAAACTGTACTCAACCGAAGATATTATGCTTGAAAATAAAAATAAAATTTCAGATTTTAGTGATAGTGACTTTGATGATGTGATAGATGGCACAAACATCTCCACTAAAGATGGCAGCAATGTTATAAACAAATCAATTCCTGAAATCGATTAAAGTTTTTTATTCAGAATGTTTCTTTTGTTGTTCCAACAGACAGTGAATGACTACAAAGTAAAAACATTAAATAAGTTACATTTACTATGGATTTTTTTAAACATTAAAAACATTGCTGTATCAAAATAACTTAAAAGTTATTGATAATATATGTAGGGCAAAAAGTAAACCTGCATCAGGTATGTGTAGACAAATCTTTCATAGTGAGCTAGGCTATAAGTCTGTAACATCAGATGATTTGCTGGAGATTTTTGAACTCTTATTCACTAATGAAATTGTAGATACAATAGTAAAAATAAAATTAAATATGCAGATCAAAGCAATACAGTGCATTCTAAGACATCCCGTCTTTCCACATGGGAAGACATTACATCTAGTGACATTCAAATGTACTTAACTGTGCTAATATACTGTGGCTTATTACGCAAACCTAGACATGACTTATATTATTCTAAAAACTCACTAATTGCAACACCTTGATTTAGATGCCTAATGTCTCAAAATAAACTTTTACTAATTGAAAAGTATCTCCGATTTCTTGACAATCATTTTTTAGGGGAGGATTATAATAATTCTGCAAAAAGCTGAGTCTGCAATTTTGAGCAATGTTTTGAGCCTAACCATTACCCAAATATGATATCGGCTACTGCACACAAAGTTAATGCTACAAGAAGATGTGTAGTTTGCTATAACAAACCAAACAAAATATGAAAAGAATCACATTATTTTTGTGCAAAATAGAATGTTTGATTATTTGTTGCACCTTTTTTTTTTATTTAAATAATCTCCTCAAGGCCGAGAAGGCCACTACAGATGAGGAGGCTACTTAATTGTGGTAACAACCCTCTCTCAACTCTATAACTCCGAAACACGAACCTTGACGAAGAAGGCCGCTGCGCTGAGAAACAAGTTGAGCGCGGTACTACCAGGGACATAGTGGGAATCGAACTCGGAACCACTCGTTTATGAAGCGAGCGCTCTACCACTACACCACTACCGCATATACCTTGCCTACCTTGCTTTGAGAAGTACCATACTAATTATAAATATTAATTTTATATTGTAGTAAGGTCTTTTTAGTTTATTTTGGATTTACTTGAACTTTATATGTAATTTACAAATAGGTCTGACTATTTTTGTTTACTTTTTCTAATAACCGAAATTTTTAAAATCTAACCCGACGCTTGAGCTATTGCGCGCCAAATTTAGGTGACAGTTAAGGAATTGAAATATTTTCAAATTTAAACATTTAAAAAGCTACTTGAAGAACATTGAAATCATTTAAAAAGTTATTTAAAAAAAAATTTTTCTTATGATTTAGAGAAAGTAAATATAATAGAAAGTGATAAAATTAGTGCTGTACATGTTTATTTTAACAATAGTTTAAACTTTTTGGAAAAATTATATTTAAAAATGACTTTTGCAATAAAAATAGATCAAATTATGAAACTCAGTTGGGTAAGTCATGGTAAGTCTGTTCCATATCTACCATTTACATACTTATTCTTTATATAGTCGTTTTATTTCAATAATTTTTAGTAAGTGGTAGAAAATAAAAATCTTTAAAATTTTTGTTTTGAGTTGACAATTAATGTTCAATAACTTCTTATTGTAAAATTGTAAACTTCTATAGAAAAAAGGGGCTTATTAGTTTTTTTCTTTACGAATTAGGAATTTAAACTTTTTAAATTCCTAATTCTTAATAATTTTATTGATTTTTAAATATTTTCTTAATTCTTAAGAAACTTAAGAATTAAGAAAATATTTAACTTTCTAATAAATTTTTATATTTTTTTACAGATCATCAGCAGCTTATTAGGACCCTTGCTCCATTAATTAATTTTTAAGGAAATAAAAGTTTGAATGTAAAATCTTTTTTCCAATAGAAAAGAAAACTGACTCTTTAATGTGTGTAAAACATGCAGACTTAACTAATAACCTAAGTACATTAATAACATAAGTGTGATTAATGCACAACAAATTTCTCTTGATGTTTTAAGGTTTTTACAAATTTTAGACTTTTTTAAAAATTCTCTCTCTTTCTTATGTTATAGTCAATAATATCTTTATATATGGTATGGAACTTTAAAAATGTTTTATTTTGTATTTTAAAAAATTTGAGAAGATTTAAAAAAAAAATTAAGCGTGCAACAGAAAGAACTTGAGCTCCCGCAATGCACTTCAGAAGCACAGCGAGCTAACTACATCGGCTACTCAGACAGTAGTACTATAATTATAGTTTTTAACATAATTTTAACAATTATTAAGCAAAAAACTATAACTTTAGGAAACAGCAAATATATGTTATTAAATTAAAATTAAGGAGATATTGCCGCAATTCAATTTTCAAGTAAAAAACTGTAAAATTTGACATAATTTTTAACATTAAATAATTTGAAATTTACATAATGGGACTTGGACTCTTCCTCATTATTAACTCGAGTGTAATGGCTGACATGAGTTTAATGTCAAACACACACAAATGAGCAATGGCAGCTGCAGCTGAAGCATTAAGTTCAATAATAAAATATATTAAGATATGCAATAACTATTTTAATACAAAACATAAGCATTTAATAATTGTTTTAATTTTCATTTTGATTTAAATAGGTTAATAATTTTCACAGTGCTTTAAATAAAAATTAAAAAAGGCCTTTTAAAAGATATAATAAAATATGATAAACTTAATGATTAAAAAAATATATCATACATTGTTTTTAATCATTTAGTTTTGTTTTAAAAATTATGTACATTAAATAAGTTACATTTACTACGGATTTTTTTAAACATTAAAAACATTGTTGTATCAAAATAACTAAAACTTCATGCAACTTTTATTAAGTTATTGTAATCATTATTTTCATTATCAATAAAGTCAAAAAGAATATGAAGAGAAATAAAACATTTTGAAAGGGTTTTTGTTTCCTTTTTTCTTTTTCCTAATATAAAAGCTGAAGACCATCAGTTCATTCATTTTAAAAATTAAATTTGTGAAATTGCTTTGATTAAGATTAAAACTTTTTTTGTTCTTTATAAAAAATGAATTAGCTAAAACTTACAGATTTACTACTCCATTATTTACTACTGTATTTGAACCCAAACTATTTTTCAGTTTTTTAATAAAAAAGCAAAAGAAAAATAATAAATAATATTTTTGGGGGCTTTTTTTGGGCACCCATACAGTTTTAGCGGTACTAAGACAGGTCTATGTTTGTTCCTAATACAATTTCCAGATATGAAACAGATACTATATATAACATTTGATAATTGCCTCAAAGTAATTTTGTTAAATATATATAATTAATTATATATATATATATATATATATATTTGATATTATTCATTACTAATGAGCTAAATCATGCCTTATTATGATCTTCCCAAAAAGCTTTTGTATTACCAACAAGAGCTTGATCTTTAAGTTCTGCTCGATCAGATTTTCTTTTAGATTTTAGTTGTTTATTTTGATGAGCTTGATTACCAAGTTTAGGTGGCGATATATTATCTAAACAAAAAAAATTGAACTCTAAAAATAGTTATAAACAAAAATACAAACTTGCAAATATAAACTATTGTAATAATAAAATATTTCACCAAAACATACATTTGAATACTGTTTTCAAATTTTAAAATAAATGTGTTTCTTGGTAATTATGAAAAATGTAACTATGGTAACTATTGTAAAAAGTAATAAAACTTTAATGTAGGCACAAAAATTGTTTATATGCAGAAATTGTAACTAATTTTTTATACCCAATGATGTCAGTTATTGCCATTTTATTGGCTATTTATGAAAAGTCTAATTTAACTCACTTTAGTTATAACGATTATGGTTTTTTTCTTTTGAGCAGTTTATTGACATCAAACTTAACTGTTTTAACAATAACTAATCAGTTAAAAGGTATAAATAATTTAAAATTAATATTTTATTATTTTTAACTTTATTGTATTTTTTTGTATCTAATATAACAGTTCTATTTTTAAATTTAATTATAACTTAAAACTTTTTTTTTTAGATAAATTGTTAGTAAGTTAATTTAATGCGCTTAGTTACAATTGTTAATTATTCTCCCACGTAGCTTCTTTAATTAAACCGTGCTCAGTTAACACTGTTTTAAATTATTACATTTTGATTAGGATTTTTTTTTTATTTGACTATGCTT